TAGAGACTGTGACATTCAACCCCACGTGCAAAGTATGGTGGAGATGTGGAGATGACACACTCATGATATCAAAAACACAGGACACGAAAAGATTTTTCGAACACATCAACTCAACAGTAAATGTAGTTTAATTCACTTATGAGTTAAAAACTCACGAAGAAGAGCTTCCAGTGCTAGATTATATCATAAAAACGAAAACAAGATGTGATGTTTACAGAAAACCCACACATACAAACCGACATCTAGATTTCAGTTCAGTCCATCTCATGTCAATATAAATACGATTAATGAAATGTTTACGTGATAGGGAGAAATAACTAAGTAGTATCCAAGGAAATCTACAACAGGAAGTAAGATATCAGAGAAACTTTGGCACTTAGTAATTGCCCTAATAAGTTTATCAGGAGGTATATAGGAACCTGCGAGAATAATAATATTTAAGAGGAACGACAGGAACGACTAGCACACACAGGAACATGACAATACCAATAATAATAGAAAATTTAACACATCAGTAATGTTGTTATACAAAGAGGAATCCTCTGAAACGTTGCAAGAGGATTTTTAACAAGGCAGGAATAAAAGTGTCATTCAACCCCCCTAACTCACTTAAAAAGAAATTATGTTGATTAAAGGATCCTACGGACCTCATTACATAAATTAATTTAGTTTTTATCTAATCCCGTGAAACGATTGTGAGGTCATAGTAGAGGGTCAGGGTCAGTTGGATTAGCACAGTACAAATGTTTAGTGAAATCTAAACTAGTGGACCCTATGCAAGTAAGAAATCCAGCAAAAGCTCAACTGCTGCAGCTGTACATGCAATTACACACAACCATCAAATAGGATGGGACAAGATGAGATTCTTAAAACTCAGTATAACAAGGTAGAGGGTGAGATTGATAATAGACGCCTTATTTATCTAATTATCTGAGAATATGTACAGCAGGAGCGGCTCTATACTTATCTCGGACACCTAGTAAATTCTACTACCCTTAAGAAAAATGCGAAGTTAGGACGAGAACTATAAGTAACAAAGTTGAGTAGTTGCAATTGATATGATTATGAACAATAAATTGTGTTCGAAGCACCATGAAGAAAATATTTCACTTTGTGATATATCCATCCAATCAACGAAATAATGTAGAATTAAATATTACCAGAGTGTTGGCTGTTGTTGTGGTTGCCTGTCACTTCAGGCGATAATTCTCTTTGTATACTCTAAGATATTTGAGTTCTTTCTATATGAGTGTTAAAGTATAATGTATATTCAATTATCAAGCGATTTTCTCATTAAGAAACTTTTACAACACCTGTTTTGTTGAATATCATCTTACAACTAAGAAATAGGGGAAGGTGAAAGGACCCTAGTATTTAAGTGATACAGAATCTAAGGGTAGGTAAAAGCTTGATGAATTCGCTATGATCTTAGCGTTAAAACTACCGGATTTAAGCAGATTTATTTTTTACCGGATTTATGATGGCCTTCATTCAAATGATCATGAAATCTGGAGTCACTGACACGTTGATCATTCCGCAACTGTATCATGAAAATACTCCTTCTTATAGATAAAACTGTAATTAACTATACCGGTCACATGTGAACTTAATATCCTGGTTGGTTTCTCATGTATACTAGCCACGGATTACCAACTATCATCTCCAGAGTCTTTTGTAGATAATATATAAGACATTACTAATTTGGTTTAGAGGTAATTATCTTAGCTACGATGAGAGGTGAATAATGGAGACTCATACTTTGTCTTCCCGGACTTTGTGGGGTAAAAGAACATCACAGAACAACAAACAGACTGACTAGTCTAACGACAACAAAAAGGCCAACAGACAGATATGCAGTAGGAACTTATCTGAAATTTAAATACGTGTATGAAGTTACCATCTAATCAAAACACAACAACAACAACAGAATGAGATAAAAGTACTTCTCGAAGTAAAGACAACGAAATTTTATGCTTTACTGGAAATAACCTGGAGGAAACGATTCATATTACTTAGAAATTATTAGTAATTAGTAAGCGTGAAAGACATATCTGTGTAAATTATGCCTGACCATCATGTGGGATGAAATTCATGTAGCACACCGTAATAAGCTGACTTAGTGGATTGAGTGATATACCTTTTTACATAGAACCATCTAATTTAAGTGTAAAATTAGGATACGTTTGAGTAAAGAAAGAATGAACGTATATTTCCAGGATAATACGAGCTCGTTTTATTGAGTGGATTCTCTTCAACTGCCTATATCCTAATTAAATCAATTATATTGTTTCAAAGCGAAATCTGAACTCCACCTCTTGGTCTAATTACTATATAAATAGTTACTCTTTTAACAATAAGTAGTTGTCTACTGATGTCATATTTGAAATTATGTTGCTTATACTTTCTATCAGTAAATTAAATTCATCGTAAGGTATATGTCCAGACACTATTTTCTAACATATAACTGATTTATTTAGGATGTAGGCGGTTGAAGAAAATCCACTCAACAAAACGAGCTCATATTATCTAGCAAATATGTTTGTTCTTTCTTTCTTCAAACTAATAAAGGGAACCGGCTGTGTGAAATAGGATACGTATATTTGATATAACACAATGATACAGAGTTAATAACTGGATGACGTTTCGAGCATAGTTCATTGCTTATAATCATAGTAATTTATTCATCCCTATGTGAGATAGTTGGGTTGATAGACTGTTACTGAAGTATTAGATGATGAATGAAGTCTTCGAATTACTTATGCAGACTTAGGACTCTGCAAGAACTGGAGAGGAATCATGCTCCTGTCGACGCCAAGTAAAATCCTGAGTCGCAACATCCTGGATGGAATAAAGGACGCACTGGATACAGAACTCCGACCAGAACAAGCTGGATTCAGGAAAGGCAAATCATGTTCTGACCAAATTGCAACTCTACGCATTATCATCGAACAAAGCATGGAATGGCAATCAAATCTCTACCTGAACTTTGTAGACTTTGAGAAGGCCTTCGACAGCGTTGACCGCGAAGTAATTTGGAAACTACTCGAGTACTACGGCGTACCCCAAATATTCATCAACCTTATTAAACAGCTGTACGACAACAGCGCATGTCAAGTGATCCACAACGGAAAACTCAGCGAGGCGTCTGGAGTAAACACAGGAGTCAGACAAGGGTGCTTATTATCACCAATGATATTCCTAATTGTGGTGGACTGGATTATGCGTCAGACAGTGGGGAACGAGAAGACAGGGATATCCTGGACCGACGTGAAGAAACTAGAAGACCTGGATTTCGCGCGTGGATGATTTATGTTTGATGTCACACAAAATCGAACACTTACAAGCGAAAACCGACAAACTGGTCGAAGAAGCAGGCAGTGAAGACAGGACTGCAGGTGAACATAGACAAGACGGAGGTCATGAAAATAACCAACCAACCAATAACAACAACAACAGCAGCAGCAACATCCAGCGCCAATCACCATCAACGGGAGGGATTTGAAAGAGGTTACTTCATTCACTTATCTAGAGAGCATTGTCTCAACTACAGGAGGAACGGACGACGATGTCAAATCGAGAATCGGGAAGACGAGAAACACATTCACCAACCTGAAACCAATCTGGAAATCTTCGTCACTCAACCTGCATTAACAACAAAATTCGGATTTTCAATACAAACGTCAAGTCAGTTTTGCTATACGGATCAGAAACTTGGCGGGTCACAAAGAACATTTCCAACAGGTTGCAGACCTCTATCAACAACTGTCTTCGCTGGCTCTATACTGAAGATCATATGGCCGGAAAGAATCACCAACAAGAAACTATGAGAGCAAACAAAACAAGAACCAATTGCTCAACAAATATGCAGGAGAAAGTGGAGATGGGTTGGACACTCGCTGAGGAGGCCGCTGGGTGACATCGCGCGTCAGGTCATAGCTCGAGTGGAACCCGAAAGGGAAGCGGCGAGTAGTGGGACGTCCAAGGGTGAAATGGAGGAGATCGTGTGAAGAAGAGTTGAAACAGTATGGACTAACATGGGTGCAGGTGAAAAGTACAGCAGAAGACATAAGCAAGTGGCGACGTGCAGTTGAAGCCCTATGTTCCACTAGGAACCCAAGGGAACAATAATAATAAAGTCCTGACAATTCGTGATATATAGGATAACCACCAGCCAATCTCGTCCTTAAAACACGGACAAAGCAACTATTCCTGGTAGTTTCTAATAATTCTCTAACTGAAGTCCAGTCGTGATCAACCTAGAAATGCAAGAGGTTGTTGGCTAAGGCAAATGTCAATAAATCATTCAGTCAATTGAATTAGAAACACATATTTACACATATTTATATATGTACTAAAAGAGGAGAATCAGTACACTTCCCTTATAATAGTACACACAAATAAAACAATCGTCTTATGAATGTAAACATATATCTATGTGTAAGAACAATAGGAGAACTACTGTCAAAACACAAATCATCATTCTATAAGCAAGCAAACAAACAAACAAACATAACAAGACGTAGAGCAAAAAATTCAAACAAGTCAAGAAATCAAAAGACAACAGTGTGCATGCAATGTAATTCCAACAAATATATTCTTTATATATGTATGTATATTTATGCATAATGTATAGTTAGACAATATGTAATATATTCAATATCACTATGTAGTAATATATATATATATATATATATATATATATATATGGGTGAATGCTATTCATTTCAGTCAAGATGTGTACTTCATCAATTGTATCGCATTTACTGTTTTATTTATTGTTCACAGAAAATTAAAAAAAGAAGAAACACAATAAGAAGAGTAACAACAGAAAAATAAAAGATAAAGAAGAAGAAAAACACAAAACAAAAGGAAAGAAACTGACAGCCATTGTTATTACTATTACTACTATTATCATCAATATTGTTCATTAGTACATTTAAAGAAATAGCCATTCAATGTGTTCAATATCCTGAAAACACAATATACATACAAACATTTGTATATATATATATATATATATATATCAGTTGTATGTGCAAAGTGTTGAATTTTTTGTGAGGCATCATACAATTGGTAGGGAACAAACAGTAGGAGTAAGTAAAAGCAAAAGAACAAGAGGTGGGGTAGTGCGGGGTGCGTGGGTGGATGGAAGTAGGGAGGGAGAATTGGATTTTTCTTTAGAAAAGTGTTTGTGATATCATCTGTTCCCTTCACTACACATTAGCATTATTATCACTGTTGATATGTTGTATACTGATGTTTAGATATGTAATCTTGTTTCTCTGATTTGATTATTTATGCATATATATATATATATATATATAGACGAAGGAGGCACATATGGAGTCTCTTTATAGGCATCATATCAAACATGCTAAGTAAAACAAAAGAAAAGAAAAATAAGTAAGCGTTTTCTCTTTTTAATATTCACACTCAAAACCAAAATAAAATATTACAGTAGGCAGGTGATAACGATAAGTGAGAGAGTAGGCGAGTTAATGAAATGACAAGGTGAGCAAAAAAGAAACCCCCTCCCCGCCTGCATAAAGTACACAAAGATATCAAAAAAAAATAGCTAGTTAGAATAATGAACAGGATTTTATGTCTTTTATTCTCAACAAAGGCATTTCCTCTGATCTCATCTCATCTCATCTCATCAAAAATCAATCAAGGAGAACAAGAGTAAGAAAGAAGAAGGCTGTTCAATATATATATATATTCAATATTCCCCATATGCATGGATGGATAACACAGTTGGTGGTTTGGTTACGTAACAGATATGAAGAAGTTGTAGAAGGAGACAGAGAAATGAGGTTAGGCGAAGGAGAAGAAAGAGAATCAGGTGAACGATGGAAGGAATCGGCGCCGTTACCTTAACCATACCACACCCACACATACACACACAGAAAACTACGCTTAATCTGAAAGTATGACAAAGAAGAGGCGAAGAAGGGAAGCAAAGCGTAGAGAAATATATATGTATCTATTTTGTGCGTGATTCTAACTAATTAAATAACTTACAAAAACCATACAGATCTACGTAAAATACACTATGAGCAACTGATCGCAAAATACATATCACTAGTAAAATATTATTATTATCATCATTATTAGTCAACTTCTATTCTCTACTGGTTATTAATTAATAATAATAATATTAATAGTAGTACATACAAGTAATTAAAATATTGAAATTCTTCGATTAAATATTAAAATAAGAAAAAAAATTAATTTAGAGTAATAATAATAAGTTTTATCAATGTATTATTATTATTACTATTATCATCATCATTATTGTGCGCACTAAGGAAAACCATTACCTTCTCCTACTTTCTAATGAGTACAATCAAGTATCAGTTATCAGTCAGTCACAACAAGAGTCATAGTGATAATAATAATAATAATAATAATAAGAGTAATCTTTGAAGATATGTATACGGTACAGGTATACACCATATATAATAGTATTATAAAAATACAGATTTCACACTACGCAAAAAAAATCACAGAAACAAGCGCATCACCCTTTTCTCATTTTTACTTTTTTTCTTCTCTGGTTATAACTATTCTCCATTTGTCTTAGTTATTTTTTTTGTTATTCACTGCTACAGAGACAAACAATACTAGTTTAATTGAACAAGCAACCGTTCATCTTTGAAAGATATCGAAATATACAACTATAAAACAGCGCCATAGAAGAATTGAATAGAGATAGAGAGAGACATCTATATATTCAGAGGTACACAGTAGACAAATGGATGTAAAAGATATCTCCTTTGAAAAAGAAACAAAAGCAAAAACGAAATACATGTCTGTTTTATAAAGAAGTAGTAACACAGTGATAAAGATTTAGTGGAAAAAAATATTCACTTATATTTCTGCCAATAGCCAATAGCCTCTTCCCTTCCGAAGCGAACTGTGTATAAACAAACACAGTTACATGCATATCTCATACTTTGGAAATATTCCCTCCAGCACTAGGTCCACGTGATCTAGTCGCTGGTGAAAAACCTCTACGACGAACACCAGCTGAAGATGATGCAGACGGTGGTAGATCACCAACACCCTAAAATAAAAGTATTTAAAAATAACTGGTTAGTTAAGCGGTAAAAGTTAACAAAGATTTAACAGGAATACATCAATCATCACAGAAGTATTCAATAGAGACATAAGGCTTTAATATTACAACAAACTGATAGAAACATTTGTATGCTGAAATCCTATTGATGAGGAAAAAGTGGTCATACGAAAACTGCTACCTCTATGCCAAAGAATAATTGCTTAATCGATAGACATGGATGACGTAATCACTGGATGTGTCTGTGCAATATTTTCACCTTCTTCAAACTTGTCAAATGGATACTCAATCACCTTGCTTCGTATCCAATAGCAACATTCACCTTATTACACTAAGAAGTCCTTACTTCCATTGTGTCTCCTAAGTAATTGAATCAGTTGTGTCACATCCCCCTATTAACCAATAATAAACTTCTATATGGCTTTTGGGGTCTACCGATTTGGGCGTGGGGACTGATACTGACCGATGACATTATCTGGCAGTCACGCTATGTATCGTCAACCGGTAGAAGTTAGAAATCATCGACCATTGGACTCCGTCTTAGTGGCTAAATGGTCAACAAGCTCGCTTTGTAATCTGAAAGTCCTCTTCCAGTTCGATCTTGGGCAGGGTCATGAGTGCGTACTGATGAAAAGCGTCTACCTATGACGAAACAGCTGTCCAGTACTCTCTGGTTGTTTTTCAACGGTTCTCTAACTGAAGTCAGTCCACGGTGAAACATAGAATCAATCAAATCGCTGGAAATCAATACTTGGGAATATAATTATGATATAATATGATATTCAATACAAACACATTTTCTCAATATTTAGTGGTGTTCTATCACTGGCTGAAGTACTCTATAGAAGAAATTACCAGCAACTCCCATTTGATACTCATATATTTATATATATACGATAGAGATGCTTATTCTGAGATAACTATGCTTACTATGCTAGTGATGATAACTATTCTATAAACAAAAAAAAGAAATGGTAAAAACTGGGGCGAAAAAAACAATACATCTCTATGATAGAGCTAAAAAAATCTAATGGGTGCGCCTACAAACAAAAAAGAAAATCCACGTTAATTCATATTTATAACATGATCGTATAATTTAACAGCCAGCTAACTTCGTTTATATTGGGGGAATGAAGCCACACCTACTATAGCATTGTTATTATTATTATTATCATTAGGCATAGGGTAATATTTTAAAGCTGGGAACAAGACAGGTGACTGTAAGATACTCTGATATTTAAATAAGTTTTAAGATAACTGTGATAAGATAAAAAAAGAAGTTGAAAACATTAAAATACCCTCTAATTAAAAGAAACCTGTAAATATCAAATTGACTAACGTCAGGCAGGTTTTTTTAATAGAGAAAATACAAATACTGTAAAGTTATAAGTTATTACTTTCACAACTCCCTTTATATTGTTCACTTATAGACAGCGGTAGCAACCAAAGTATTACTATGAACTGATATAAGGAGCCAATATTATCTCAACAACAAGTTAGCAACAAGTTAGCAGAAGAAGCATCAAAGATAGGACTTCAGGTGAACATAGAGAAAACAGAGGTGATGAAGATTCCTGGGCAACACCACCAACAGCAACAACAACAACAGACAACAATCTGCATAAATTGAAGGAACCTGAAAGAAACAACCTCTTTTACCTACCTGGGAAGCATCGTTTCAACTACAGGCAGACGGAACTGATGAGGATATCAAAGCAAGAATCGGAAAAGCAAGACAAGCTTTCACTACTCTCAAGTCTGTGTGGAGGTCAACAACACTCAGCATCAAAAACAAGATCCGGATTTTCAACTCCAATGTGAAGTCAGTGCTACTATACGGATCAGAGAATTGCACTGCGCGTCATAAAGAGCATCTCAAACAAACTACAGACCATCATTAACAGTTGTCTTCGCTCAATACTCAAGATCAGATGGCCGGCCAGAAAAGATCAGCAACAGGGATCTCTGGCAATGAGAGAACCAAACAGGAACCGATTGGGAAACAAATAAGCAGGAAGAAATAGAGATGAATTGGCCATACTCTGAGGAAACCATCAAGTGACATCACTAGACAAGCCATTACTCGAGTGGAACCCGAAAGGGAAGCGGCGAGTTGGTCGTCAGTGCAAGGGTGACTTGGAGGAGGTCATGTGAAGAGGAGATGAAAACGTGTGGGCAGACATGGAGCCAGGTGAAGACTCTAGCAGAGAACCGAACGCAATGGAGACGCACGGCTGAAGCCCTATGTTCCTGTAGGAATTAAAGGATACAATAATAATAACAATAATAATAATAATAATAATATTACCTCAACATTTTGAACAATAACAGTGAATCAAAAACTGTAAGGCTATGTCAGCAGCAAGAAAGATTACTGGATAATAATAATAATATTGTGTAAACACAAGAGATATAACATGGGGGTGATTAGGTTCACCCATGAATTGTGACACACTAATCATAGAATGCAGACGAACTAGACATACATTGAGGAGGTCATCAAGTGATATCACATACTAGGCAGGTCGTCGAGTGGAATCCAAATGGATACTGACCAGTTAGGTGGCCAAGAGTAACGTGAATATGAAGTGTGAGAGAGAGAGCTTGTGAACAGTAATGGGGCTATTTGAAATAGATGGAAGAGAATTGAGTAAAATGAAGATGTGATTCCGAGGCCCTATGTTCCACTCATGAAATCAAGCCATTAGCTTAAAGCTATATACACAACTTGATTCTATATTCCTTCGAATTTCACTCAATGAAGCCGACGACTTGTCACATGAACCTGACAAATACTAGACAGCTTTAAAACTTCATAAGATGCCAGTGTGTAATCGTTACCAGCAGGTACCAACAATACAAGAATCTAGGCGTTACTGAACACAGTTGAAATTCACAACACAATTTCCAGGTATATGCATGGTTTTTTTTATTTTATCAATAATCTTAAACACCCGATTTGTAGGTGCTTTTTAAAAATAATGCGTAGACAGATAAGAGGACATATGTCAGAAAGTTATCTCTTGCGGGTCAATAAATAAATCGAATAGGTGGATGACTTTGATGCAGCTGTGTTCTATGAGTTCGATGGTTTACTTATGAAGCTTTCATTGCCTTACTAGGCAATATCTTCAGTGCATACTTCAATTTGAAGTGAGCTTTTAGATTTCTCCACGAGTTTATTATTTATCTCCCCTACTGACCTTGTACGTGATTGGTTGCCCTTGTTTGTCTTCACAACTTCTAATCTAGGTTCCGATTCCCGACCGAGGCACTCTTAAACCTCCCCTAACCGGTAGTAAGTCTGTAAAAACAACACAAGTGCTACTAAAACTTATTAGTAATTGAGGTAAGTTAAGGAGTGAGTCAGTCAGCCGGGGGTCGAACGCCAGATCATGCGCGTGGTCGGCGAGCATTCTTCGATTGAACCACAGATGAAAATGTATATGCTTGGTGTTGATATATAATGAGAGTATTGAGAATTAGAATAACCTCATTGATTTTTGAGATAAGTAAGAATGGCAACCGTATTTGGATTCCGGATATGCCAAACCAACCTAATATATAAATATAATTAAACCACTTCCCGTGTTGAAACACAGACTTCCCAGGATAGATCAATCAATAGACACTAACTAGTACAGATAGATAACAGTATTTGTACTGTACGATGTAGGAGATTCACAGTACATTCGTTTACTGTCATACAGTCCCCAT